TTTTTTCACTCTGACGAGGAACCAGGCTACCGAGCGAAATCGCTCAGCGTTATTCAGTTGACTAGCCTTAAGTTGACGGCACTTGATCTAGGCCGCCAGTCACCAGAAATCTATTTTCATTTAAAAGACGATGACATTTCAGCTCAAGATGAGTCCATTTTAGAGTGGACTAATAAGACTGGACGACCTGACCAGGTGGCCTTGGGGTCAGGCTTCTGTCACACATTAAATCGAAGCAACCCAAAGAAAGCGAAGATGCCCTCCAGAACCACGCGGCCAGACAGTCATAACGGCTAGCCAACAAAGTGGAGAAGAGTCTAGATTGTATGAGAGAGCCAGAGGTGGGAAAAGCGAGAAGGGAGGTGATGAGGTGAGGAGGTGGGAGAGGGGGCAAACCGGGACTATGGGAGAATCCGGCCTGACCGTTGATTGGACAGAGTTGGTGGGCATCGACCAGGCAGGTCAGTTGCTAGCAGAGGGATATCCGGACAACGACGAACCAGTGGACTCAGCCGACCAGCTCGGCAGCTGGCTGTCTGTTGGGCCAGCCATTCAGCTGACCAGCCTGGCGAACAGACGTGAGGACAGACGTCTGGCCGGATGGGCAGACTGGGTGTGTCCTGTCTGGCATGGACCAATCAGTCGTCGAGACTGGCCCAGGAGGCAATTGTGAAGTCCGGTATGAGGGGAACTGGGAGAGATTGTGCGTTGTGAAGGGACGGCCTTGGGCGACAGCTGAGACGGCCGGATCAATGGGGCGAGAGGAGGAGACGCAGACACAACGACTCACTGGCCAGCATGGGCGCGTGTCTTTCTGATAAACTGGCTCACAGCAACCATAACTAGCCTACTCACGAGTATCCCGTCGCATCATTGTCATCCGGCTTGCAGTCATCTGGACCGTGTTACTGTCTTCTCAATGCAGGCCGGCCGACAGCGGACAGATCCGCGGCTCGTCACGACCGTGTACAGGGCGTCGGGGGCGCTTTAGACGGGAGTCCCGTTAAAAGTTGCATGGACTCGGCTCACTTGTCCGGAGGCCAAGAGCTGGCGGTCTGTCGGGATGCCGTCTCGTGTTAAACTCGACTTATCTAATCGCATTTCAGGCTAAATACATTTGCATAAAGTGGCGATGGGGAGAATGGTGAATTCGTCAGAGAGCACGAGAGAGAGCGCGAGATAGAAAGAGAGCGAGCAAGCGAGCCAGCGAGAGAGAGAGAGAGAGAGAGAGAACTCTTGCGTGCGAGAGAGTGGCTAATTGAGGATAAGCAGGGAGAACAATCGAGGTCGGCTTGCGGCTTGCACAGCAAAACATGGCGTCGGCGACAGCTCAGTTGTTCGCTTGAGCCCCGCACCTGCAGGCGTGTTTAATAGGCTCACGTGAAGTGGTCACGCTTGGGGCGACATGTGCTCCGCTGCCTTGTCTGCTCGGCCCGAGTATCCCATCGAGGGGATTGGCCCAGAGCCGCGGTCCAGCTGAGTCCGGCATTGTTCACTTGATGCGTACCCGACGAGACGGAAGTAGTTGCCACTGACCTGTGTCCACGCCAGCCTGGAATACATGTTATCCGGTGGAAGATGTGTTTTAGCCTAAGATGTGCCGTTCTTGTCGATAGGCGCGAGACAAAGAGGCACCGTGGCGAACAGTCCGGCATGTAGGAAAGAGACGCCGCGTAATCCCGACGCATGGCAACCAGCTGAGGCAAAAGATGGGCAACGAAGTCAGCCAGTTGCCGGCCGACGCGGGACTCGGCCCTTTGGCACGAAGGGATTCGGGCTTTCGAGACGACCAATACGTGCCCGTCCGTCGACCCAGTCAGCTCGGCCTCGGGCCTGGCTCGTGTGCCTCTGAGACGACCGGTCTCCAAGCGCCCAGGCGTCAAGGCCACAGTCAACCACCGCGGCGGCCTCACGAGGCTTCTGCCCTCGGCAACGCGTCTGGAAGGATCCCAGAGACCGGCAAATGGCCAACACAATCGCCGCACTCCTTCCCTCCTTCCGTGCAGACCATCGCTGTTGACGCCTCTTGCGGACTCGTCTCTGCCGAAGCCGGCGAGGACAGCCGCGGCTCGACCTCCTCTTCGGCCAGTCTGCTCGGCCTGTTGAAACGCTCGATCGGCTCTGCGGTGTCGGGCGCGCTGTCCGGGGCGAAAGAGACCCACGACGGACACGAAATGGGCTCAGGACAGACCTGGGAGACGGATTGTCCGAAACGTGGCTTCCCGGACGAGGGTCTCAGTGAAGAGGAGGATCTGCGAGAGGCGGCAGACGATGAATTCAGCGAACAGCCAACGCACGAAGAGGAGGAGGAGGGAGATGAGGAAGAGGAGGAAGGCGAGGCAAGCAAGACAAGCAGGCGGTATACCTTCGAGGAGGGAGCCAGTGCCAGCTCAAAAGACAAACACGACTGGGGGTCGCGATGTCGAATACGCATGCCACCAGAGCGGAGGATACCGGAATGGCTGAGAAGCCAGCCGGTCAGTCGTTCGCGTCTGTTGGAGCCCGACCTCTCACAGCTGACGGAAGAGGAGCGCCAGCACATCGCCGGAGTGCTTTCTCGAGTCCGCAAGCTCGAGCAGGCCGAAGGTGACCGACTAAGGTGGGTTTCGTTGTTTCCTTACCTCCAATTCATTAATAACGTTCTCCAGGGTTTACAGGGACAGATAGCAATTAGAATCATGCTTAATGCTGCATTGGAATTAACTGCGACGAGCTGAACCGCTGTTTCCACCCAGCGACCACGTTGGTGGGGCTCGAACTCTGGATATATCAGATCAACTGCCTACGCCAAATGTAAAGTTGGCGAGGCCGGATTTGGTGCAAAAATCATAGTCGTCTTGTAGCCCGTAAGAGTTGGGTATATGTGGTCTGGTGGGCTACGAGATTGCTTCCAGACTTGTACAGCCTCAGTTCAAATACAGCCGAGAATGCTGACGATGCGAAGACAGTCCAGGGCGAGGTATAGTGCACTAGCATAAGAAGTCAATCACCCTTGGTCGCTCAAAGGGACACAAGGAATGACTTATGTGTTTTCACTCAATGAGATTGATATGCCTCACAATTCCATTACATTTCGCCTATCATTGCCGCCACAAGCTCTGCCATTGCTGGGAGTGCTGATGAGATAAAGGCAAGATCTAAACTGCTCAGAACCTTAGATTAGATAAGTTTTTCGCAGGCAAGACAAAGTAAAATTTAATGGCATCATGAGTCCTACTCATCTTATCGTATTAGAAACTGGAGTTATTTGTTTAAGATTAAATAATCCAGGCCAAAGCTCGATGAAATACAACTTTTTAGAATGCAAAAGTTATTTCGCTATAATGAAATTTCATTATACCGGTTTAAAAAAAGAAACAATATAATTGCAATTGCATTATTGTGGAAATTTCATTATTTCGCTATTTATATCGGGATTTGGCCTATAGATTCAGAAGCTACTCATATTGCACTTAAGTAGTGTCGTTTATTACAATGGCAAACACATGTTTTCTTAATTAACAATCCTACAATAAATTAGTTGGGATGACTTAGTATACCTTGAAAGTCGAATCTGCCCTGCGACTTACTAACACCAGTGGCTGTGTAGTGGATTGATAATGTCACCACGATACTTACGACCCAGAATCGAATCCCGTTTGGGTTGATGATGAGGCTCAGGCGAAGTTGAAATAGCCGTCCAGCCTGGATGAGATAAGTTTTTCGGAGGCAAGAATAGGTGAAATTTAATGGTATAGAGAGGCTTATTCATCTAATTGAGAGAAAAACTCAACTATTAGTCTTTAGGTCACCCTAAGCTATCTGGGCTGAACAAGTTCTTATTTCAAAATCACTGATAGACTTCAAATCTCATATAAATATACTTTTTAAACTGAACAAATTATTTTGTTTCAATGAAATTGCATTAAACGAAATAGCAAAAATCAATTTTACTGAAATAGGCAAAAAATATATTTTCTATCAGGGGTATCTTTAAAAAGGTTAAAAGTAATTTTAATGA